CAGGACACTCTCCTGCTTCTAAAAACTTCACCTTTTTGTTTAATGCTAAGGTGGCACTATTAGTCGATCTATTCTGACAGAAACCATGTTGACTCTTTGATAATAAATCATGTTTTTCAATAAATCCCATTAATCTATCTAGGAAGGCATACTCAAAGATTTTAGAGAAGCAGGAGGGAATTGTGATAGGTCTATAATTTTCCATTAACAACTGGTTAGATTTTTTATAAATCGGCACAATTTTCCCAACTTTCAATTCATGTGGAAAGGACCCTGTGAGAAATGAAAGATTTATTAGATAAGTGAGAGGTTCAATAATATGACTAAGGGATTTTTTGACCAAGAACATTGGAACTTCATCAGGACCCGAGGAGGATTTAATTTTGATGTTCCTTTGGAGAAGTAATACTAATTCTTCTTCCACAAAAGGTTCGAGAAATATTGAATTTTGGTAATTAGGTAATCGCTTTTCATTACAAGAATTATTATTCATTGAAGGAATATTTTCTAAGACTTATTTCATCGGAGCACTAATGAAAAAATCGTTAAATAAGGAAGCAACTTCGTCAGGTTCTTCCACAATGTCATCATTATGTAAGATTTTGATTTCTTTATGGCTATTGTTTGCTGTTGACAATTCATTAATAACTTTCCAGGCTGTTTTAGATCAATTGTCTGAGTTGAATATCCTATTTCGGTAATATTCTTTTTTGATCTCTCAATAGTTTTTTCATGCAGTTTTTCAAATTGGTTATATGTGTCAGTAAGCGCAGGGTAAACTGATTTCAGTTTGAATAGGTCCTTAAGTTATGCACTAGAGTCCTTCACTTCAGGAGTTATCCAGCTTTTTTTATTATAATTTTTTTGTGATTTCTTTAGTGGAAATGATATTTCGAAGTGATACAGAAAGACATTAGAAAAATATCTGTATGCCTCATCAAGTACCTGTAGGTCAAATAGCTCCGACCAGTTTTCTACTTGTAATGCTTGTAGAAAATCACTGATATTGCTTGTGTTGAATCTACGACCAACTTGCTGATGGTTATAATTGTTTTCATTAAAATTGAGGTCACATTCGAGTACACTACGATGATCTGATATATCATTAACAATAACATACACAACACTGTTTTGTATATTTGTAAAAATATGATCAATTCTTGAGGAGCAAATGATGGTAACCCGAGTGGGCCACATCACCACAGGATTCAAATTGAAAGATATCAATTCATTTACCAAATTTATGTAATTTACTTTGTTACGTGATGTTGGTGAGGAATCTATATTGAAATCTCCTGTTAGAATTATAGCAATGCCAGGTTCGAATATTTTCTCCATAACTGCTTCTAACTTTGTCATGAAAATATCAATATCAGCATCAGGTGAACTGTAACACGTTAGGATCTTTGTTATTTTATTATTGCTTTTCAATGATATTGCACAGACTTCAAAATGTCTTTCTACACAGTAGTCATCCAAATTAATGGGATCACAGTGTATGCCTGATCTTGAAAAGATAGCAACACCACCACCTCCCTTATTTTGGCGACAGAAGTAGCTATCTAGTTTGTAGCCACTTATTCTCTTGATTCTAATAGTATCAACTCCGGCATGAGTTTCTGTCAAACAGAAAATTCAGTTCACTGTCGCAAATGTCAGTTTCAAGTAAGTTAATAGAATTAGCATTCAAGCTTCGTACATTAAGAAGAAGTAGAGTTGGGTCAAAGACTACTTTATTGAATTTCTCCCCGTTTCTGAAAAAACTTGCTTATTACTGCTCCATCTGGCCAGATATTTGGATTCATTGCATCTCGAAAATGCTCTTCACTTATACCCACTTTGAAAGAAGAGTATATTGTAGGATATTTTGACATCATTGCTTCACATTGTACCTCAGGAAATGAAGCTTTAAGGAGTAACTTGAGATCATCAGCAGTTGTGGCCTGGTCTACTCTGGTCACATGCAGGTGTACTTGTTTGGGCACTCCTTTTATATCGAAGTCATTATTGTTGCCAACTACGAACCTTCTCTTGAAACGACGTTTGTAATCAACTTTATGCCAACTACCATCTTCACTGGACTTGATTGGTATATTGCTTGCGTCTAATGGCGTTTGGACATCTTTAGTCAGATCAATTCATTACACTTTAGTTGGGACTGCACCTTTAAAACCTCGGCGGACAGATTTTTTTCTAGTGGCAAGAAAGTGTCAAGAAAGATGCATCATTGCACCGCTTTTGTGTCTACCGGATTGGTATCATTCTTTCTACATTTCTACATACTATAAATATAGTCGCTAGTTTTAATCATCACCAAGTGGTGAATGTTTTGGTCTTTTCTGACACCCAAATCTCTGAAACCAGCTCTTACAGAAACGAAACTTGTTTCATGGATGGGAAATGGAGGGCTACCATACCATATAACAAATAACCCCCATGGAGCTGAGTGATATGTACCACTAGGTTCGTGCTCTATTTTTGATTCAGGCGTACCTCGATTTGTCATTAGTATGCAAAACAGTGGGATTTCAGTACTATCAAACAATGGTATAGTTTATGGGACTAGAGATATTAAATGTTGGACTTGGAGTTTTTCTTTATGCAAGACGTTTATCCCATTGAAAGTAGAATTCTGTAGCTCTCGGAAAACTATAGATCATTCCATTCACTTCGTTCGTATCTTTTTTCCTACTGAACTAAACTAATTGGCACCACAATAACCACGTTTATGGATTTTTGTCAATTTTAGGTAAATAACACAATAGGTACCTAAAGTTTTTGGAACATTCTTTATTTGTGCTCAAAACAATATTATGTTGAAATCATTTTGAGAACTTTTCCAAAAATGATTAGACTGAAGTCTTTTGAACCAGAATTTGAATACTTCTACTTTTACTACTATGTCTAATAATTGATAAAATTCTCGACAAAATCAGTTCTCACTTTCACAATTGTAATGATTCCTAATTTTTTTCAATTTTCCAATGAATATAGAGGTTTTTTGTGGCACACTTACATTAACTTATTCTTATCATATCAATGATCTGTTGGGAGTAATCACTTGCCCTATCCACAGCTTTGCAAATGATAGTACTCTCCATACGGCGTGCTCTTCTAGAATTTCCATTTCTTGTCAGGAAACTAAGAACTTACGGCGAAGACAGGTCAAGGCTGTCAATGAAGAATTTACTGAAATTACAGCTTGGGGAACCAACAACCTACTCGAATTCAACACCACCAAAACTCAAGCCTGTATTTTCTCTATATATGCTCTGTATTTCCATCAGAAATATTCTTTCATTGAGAAATCATGTCCGATCCATCGCGAAAGCTGCTGCACAAAAACTCGGATTTTTATCCGTGCGAAAATCTACTGTACACCTCAACAGCTTCTCATGATCTTCAAAGCCCAGGTACGGCCTGTGTTAGAATACTGTTCTCAAATATGGGGTTCTGCACCCAAATATGCGCTGATGCTCTCAGATTCCATCCAGAGAAGAGCCATTCGCCTGGTGGGTGATGTCACACTCACTAATCCTTTGACCTCATTAGAACACTGTGGAAAAGTTGGCGATCTTTCACTTTTTTGTAGATACTTCCACGGGGAATGTTCTTCAGGAATATATATCATTCCATCACTAGAAATGCCAGTCAGACGAATTCGACAAGCCTAGTCAGCACATCCTTTCGTTGTCAACCTTGAAATATGTCGAACAAAAATTTACTAATACTCCTTCGTCTATAGAACGGCAAAGCATTGAAATTCTTTGCCAATGGAAGTATTCCCAAGAACTTATAACCTCCAGAAGTTGAGAAAAAATCCAATTCCTACCTTCTCTCACTATCCTCCTTAGGCACGCCCGATGTTCTTCGAATATTGAAGGGATTCCCTCTCGTGCGCTCCAAGAGATAAAAAACATCTGGAATTCCCAGTGATCTTATACTCTTCTGCAATATTTTACCTGAATCAGTAGTCAATTTACATGACAATAATTATTATTGATGTAGTTGTTCGTAATGCAAACTTATGTTGCTTCAGTACTATAAGTGGCAAAGTCCGTGATAAGAAATTCTTTCAATATTGCTGGAGGAAAACCAGCCCTGGATGCCCGGAAAAAACATTTCAATGACATAGTTTTGTTCCTCACTCATTATTTTTTGCCATTTTCAGATTTAATCACGAATGTATCATAATTTTCAATTAATCTCCAAAAACTTTCACACTATAGAATACGTAATTCGGGATCACCGTACAGTACTACAGTAGCTAGTCTCCTTTTAGCTCATGGTGAATATTGATTAGTACTCGAAACACGTAAAAGTTTCCTAGTTATCGAGATAATCCAGTTGATTTGAGATTATTCAGTGAATTCGAAAATAACGATTGGAAAGCATAGTATGTGATTAAATTAATTTCCACAACTTCAAATTTACACAGTTGAGCTCGTGAATATAAACCTCGATTACTCCTCCAACTGACAACTATGATAACTAACCATTTATAGAAAAACCATTGTATTGCATGGATTCGGATGAATTCACTGCGACCTAGAGTATCTATTGTGTCCCATTCTTTTGTTATACTGAGGTTGTACTATATCCCTCATGCATTTCAGGATACGAGATGGTTCTAGGTAGGATAGCTCCTCCTCCTCCTCTCTTATGTATGCTCCTAGATTTTTTGACCTTGGTTACTATGGGGTCGTCTTCATAGAACCTCCATTCATTTTCTTCTAAAATCATACATAGGGTCGTTCTATTTCAGCCTACTTCAGCTTAGTTGGCAATTAAAAATATTCAAAGTATTTTCATATGTATTTCCTTTCGTGCGCTCCAAGAGAAAAAAAATATCACGAAATATCTTGGTAGATATGAAACTGTTCCCAACCGTTCTTGGGCGGAATCGATGATTCTGTTGTAGGAATATTTTCTCACTTTTCTGTTCTTTATTTCTGTCTCATTATTGTACATTTGAATATTTCAACAATTCTGTTTTTCAGTTGAAAGCTGAAAAAGAAAGGTACTTGGAGCAAAAAGTGTTAATAGAGAAAGAACGGGATGATGCCTTGAGAATTGTGAGTGAAGCATTTTTTCATATGGATCGAATAATATATTACCTTTCCTTCATTTTTCAGCTTCAAGAACAAGCAAAAGAATCGGAATACAACAGAAGGAAATTAGAGAGAGCCAGACAAGAAGTGGTTCACCATATGACAAAAATAAAGAATGAGAAAGACTACTTAGAAAAAGAAGTGAGTACCTACTTGATATCATCATATTATTTTGGGGCATTGCCTGTTAATTAGATTTTTTTATAATGCACATTTGTTATAGGCTCAGATTAAAACTTCATTATAATTGTTATGTAAATCTCTGTCGTGTCACAGCCAAATACTTACATACAAGAATATAATGTCTGCTTGTTCTAGTACTCCCGAATTTCGGTTTTCACCGATGATTAACTTAATCTTTAAACAGTTTGTCTTAACGGTATGAAACTTCAGTGATTTCAGATAAAATTTCTACAGGATGATAATTGAATGAGTGTAAAATTGCAATGCATCATCTTATACCGTTTGAGCAGTAATTTTTCAAACTTTTTTTTGACCCGTATCCTGATGATTGATGCTTTTTCCCGGAACGTTTTCGGAATGTTCAAATTTAGAGCTTTGATAATCGTGTTATGAATATTCATTCAAAATGATACATTTTTTCAACGAATAATTGTATAAAATTGGAAGTTGACGTTCTTGTTCGAATAATCACAACCTTGTATATTGTCTCAGGATATGTGATAGTATTCAGAAAACAGAAATTCCTGAGGAAGTGATACAAGAAATACTGAATGATCGAATGGAGAATAACGTATTCCTCATTAGGTGAAACTTGATTTTCTCTTTGTCACTAGTAAAATAATGGAGTGTAAAATCGTCATGATGAAGTCTGGTGTAATGCCTCGAAGCTGTTTTGTGATGTCTCGGATCAAAGAGCATATGCATTTTAAATAAAAATTATGCATTTTCGTAATGATAAATTAGGAAATTGGGGTTGTAGTTCCAGAAACATGAAATTTATTTCATTCTTGATGATGAATATACAAGGTGCGATAAAAATATGTCCCAATCGTTCCGGGATGAACAAGAATATTTTTATAGATAATGCAAATCGCTACGTTCCGAATGAGATGTAAGTACAATAATATCGGTCATTGTCGAGAATTGTGAAATGTATAGATACAGGAACTCCACATGGGGCTTATACAGGGTAATATGAAAGAGCATTCAAGAAGCAAATTCCTTTGATTTGCAATTGCATTTGAGAAGTCAATGAGAACTGAGTTGTATAATCATTGTTGCCATTGTATCTTACTGATCTAGCACCCAGAATATGGTCTTCAGAAGGACTATTTCCTCAGTCATTCAGTATAAATTTGAAATGGGATATATTGACTCTCGAATTTTCATCTATAAAATATCTTTCTTACAGGAAGGAAGGAATTTTCCACCTGCCATAGTGGAAAATATGTTTCTGCTTATTAGTATCTGGAAGTCAGATATCATTAAAAGATTTGACGTGTTCAGTTAAAATAAGATAGCTTGCATAACGACTTGCTATACATGAAGAATATTTTGGTTCTCTCACGTCAAAAAAACATAATTTTATATTGGGTTGTCTCTTATTCCAATAGGTTGAAAGAATTGTGAAGTATAACAACATTACTGACTTATAATTTACAAACAAATCTCAGTATCAATAAATATTTGGCGTTCGAATTTATCCGCTATAGGATCTGGAAGGTAACATATTACCCATTCTTTATGAATCAACCGGGGAATCACCCTATATTAATCAATGTACTTTGAGTTGAATTTTTTTGAACGTTTTTTGTAGTACTTTTCAGGTGAATCACATAAAAACTACTGACAGAATATGAATTCTGATGATAGCTATCCACTGTAGCAGGTGAGATACTATAAATTCCTGATGAATCACCTGGTAAAAAAGATGTTCAAGAAATGAAAATTCAAGAGAGATTCTATTTTATTTCAACTTAATAACAAATGACTGAGAAATTAATTGCCTGAGGAAGTGTTTCTAAGAACTTACAGTTCCCAAAAAATGAACAAAATTCCAACACCTTCATCTTCTCCCTACCCTCCCTATCCTCCCTAGGTAAGCACGATGTTCTTAGAACATTATAGGGATTCCCTTTCGTAAGCACCAAGCAATTAGAAAATTTTCGTTCTGAAGACCATCATATTCTGGGTGCTAGATCAGTGATACAGTATACAACTCAGTTCTCATCATTGACTTCTCAAATACAATTGCAAATGAAAGAAAGCTTCTGAAAGCTCTATTGTATTATGACAACAATTTTGTCGAAACTATGACAATTCTGAATTCTCTTTCATATTACCCTGTTTAAACCCCATGTATCTATACATTTAACAATTTTTGACAATGACCGATTATTATTTCTTATCCGGAACAGGGATTTACATCATTTTTGAAAATTTTCTTTTTCATCACGGAACAACTTGGACATTTTTTATCGCACCTTGTATATTCATCATCGAAAAAATCTCATATTTCTGGGAATACAATCCCAATTTTTATAATTTCCTGATTTATCGTAACGAAAATGCATCATATTGATTTGAAATTCATATCTTCATTATATGCTCTTTGATCCGAAATATTACAAAACCATTTCTGGGCCTTACACCAGACTTCTTCATGACGATGTTACACTCCATTATTTTCATCAAATAAGGAGTATTTCGTGTGACACTTTGTATAGACTTCTCCAGGAGATTTTGTGTTCGAATCCTATCACATATCTGGAGACCGTACACAAGGTTGATTCAACATTAACTTTCAATTTGATTCAATTAATCGTCAAAAAAATGCATCATTTTGAATGAATATCCATAACACGACTATCAGAGCTCCAAATTTGAGAATTCCGAAAACGTTCCGAGAACAAGCATCGACCATCAGGATACGGGTCAAAAAAAATTTAAAAAAATGCTCTGCTCAAATATTAAGGTGACGACCACATTGCAATTTTACATTCATTCAATTATCATCCTGTAGAAATTTCATCTGAAATCACTGAGGTTTCATATTATCACCACAAACTGTTTAAAGATCACGCTAAAAACCGATCTTATTTGGTTAGGAAATCAGTGAGTTATTCTACTTTGAATTCTGGTTATATTTTGCACCACGTCGTTATCAATGTTGACCAGTTTATGTTATGAAACCTTTTGAAATTTCAGCTTTATAAGGATTTAGATTTTTAGTGATTTGGTAAAAGATAGCATTCAAGATAATTACGAGGATAATAATTATTAATGAAAATGAATTGAGAACTTCAAAATTATAACTCCATAGAAATTTCTTTTTAACATACCTTCTTGTATAGGACGATTATTAATTCCTCAGTATTTGCTGCCGTGCTATAAAAAATGAAGAAACTAGCGCTAGCGCATCTGTCAGCTGAAATTTCAGAAGTGTCTCCCACTTTTAACCAACGTTCCTACCTGTAATGTGGCTCATTCAAACAAAGCTAATGTGTTCATATTTTGTCATCCGACATTTTTACTGTAAGAAATAGTAGGGTGATGAATCTCTGAAGATTTTGAAGGATGTACTAGTTTGTGAGGAGATACGGGCCGTTTGAGTGTAATTGGCCAATTAGGTTTTTTCATGGTAGGCTATCTTGATAAGTAAATATTAGTAATCAAACCGTATCTTTCTTTTTCGAATGTCTTCAATAATAAATGATCTTAGTTGTACTTGTAAAGGATTTGCACAACAAATATCATCTCAAACTTCAGGCAAATTGAAATGGAAGATATTTATGAATACACCATGATTGATATCCAAACTAAGATTATGGAATTTTGAGATATACTTGCGCATATGAGTTAAAAATAAAACATTTTCATGAAGTTAATGTGTATTGAGTTGTGAATATGTATAAGATTTCCTTGAAGTGGTAAGAACTTTGTGCATATTCAATCGTGTATGAAGTGTAGTCATTACTATGGATTTTTTATTTATTTATTGATCCTGATCCCATATCTCTTAAAATTTTTGAGGTACCTATCGAATTGTGATCAATAAGACTGGTATGGAATGTTCTGCTCTATCCAATGAGGGTGTAATGAACATCTAATTTCTGGTTTGATCAGAACTAAAGCCTATTCGTCGAAACGAACAGTACATCGTTTCATTAACTTTTCGAAATGCAAATAAAGAATCTCAGAGTCTCAAGGTTATAGGCACTTCATAATTGGTTTATTGATAGTTCTATTATTTCTTGTTAAACTCTCACGCATTTATACTCAGTATAATTTATCTATTCATAATCTGCCTAAGTACTTAGAACTATCAGTGGAAAGGAGCATTCGAGGTGAAATGTAAGATTATGGGAACATATTATACAGGGTGAGTCAGAATAAGACCGACAAACTTCGTACACAGATTCCTCACAAGTTCCTATCAACGTATATCCTAAAATGCATCCTCACTGAAATACAGAGTGTCGAAACCCCTGTTGCAAAAAATATGAAACTCTGTTTACCGATTCGGATTAATCAGAGTAATCACATAGAGTTTTCGATTCTTCATTTTGTCAACCAGTGGCGTAGTTAGGGTCGTATATCGCTACATTTTTCCCCATATTTTTCCGGAACAGATGAATTGCCAAATTGATGTATGACATCAGTTAGCCTTATCATCAGTTAACCTAAAAGTAATAAAATTCTGCATGCCTAAGTGTAGAGGTTCCCAAGATATTTGCAAAAAAACTAAAGATATATCTTGAGGTTAACACCCGATTCGCTGCGTGCTATAATCGCATAATCCTGAACTTTAACGAGAAATCACAACATTTTTCAACTTCCTGAACATTTTTGAATGATGATAAGATCAATAGCATTATACGGGTGAGTCAGAATTATTTCGAGAAACTTCTATTACTTCTTATTCTCACTTTATTTCGAGGTGAACCGTTTATATTGAAGTATGTCTCAAAGTGCGACATATTTGAGATACTAGTTGTCGAATATGTGAATTTGATCATTACATATTACTCGAACACGCAGGTATGGAAAGAATCGAGAGGACCATACTTTACTCCATAATTTTCTTTTCATTCGTTATACTCACTTGCAAAATTGAGGCTATTATGAACATTGGAATAGAAAAAGACGCAGTCATTTTGATCATTCTCGGTGGAAAAAGACATTAATTTATTGATAGCAACACATGCCATTGTCAGAAGTTGCCAAATCTT